GGGTTCAGCGTCGAAAACTGAGTCGAATGATATATATCTCAAAAACTTTGCGACCACTTTTGTTTTTTTCGAATTTTCACGTCGAATAAATTACTGAGATTTTCACCGAAAAATGAAAATCAACGAAAAATTTTGAGATATATGTCATTCGACTCAGTTTTCGACGCTGAACCCGAATATGGTATTTTAATTGCACAAAAAGTGAGCTCTGGATGAAAAAATAGAGAATTTCCGGCAGAATTTCGATGTTTTCGTTCCTCATTTAGAAAAAATGTATTATCTTAGTAATAAAGCAAATTAAAAAAAAAGCCATCCGTAAAAGAAACTAGATAAGTTTGCAAAACTAAAAAAATTTCAAGAGAAGAGAGCCATTACTAGAATTTGATATACGATGAGTACAGGAGGGTGATTACACACTAGAATCTTCGAATATAACCCATCTGATTGTCTTAGATTTGAAGGAGTATGATTGGATCAAAAAATGAAATTTTACGAAATTAAAAGAGAAAAATGGGTCTAAAAGTTGATTAGTAGTTTTCAATGCAAGGCAATTTTAGGTACTACATTTTTCTCTATTAAGATGAGACGGTCGGAGATGTTGAATATATGAGCTTGTAGCTCGTGAAAAGCTCTACAAAACCGCATATAAGAAATATTTTTCACAGACTTCTTCGACTGATACTGGGGTAGCACTGATCAGCCATTAACCATGATTTGTGCTGATAGCACTCCACCAGTAAATTGACTCTAGTTCGTCCAAAACTTAATGAAAACATGGCTTCCTATATATCATTCGACGCACCTCAGGCTGCTCTTCAAGACGGCATATTTGGTTTCTCAATTCAGATATGGTCATCAAATCCGACAGGGTCCTTACTCAATGTAGTCAATGAGTAGTTGACAGCACCGTAGTTCAGAATTGATAATACACAAGGTTCAAAATAATTTCAAGTGCATTTTTAGTCAATAAATGCTGATGCAGTTTCATTAATCCTACAATAGATGATACCTTAGAATGCACCTTCTCAACGTGAAATGTCCACGACATATCAGTCATAACAAGTATACCTCAGTATTTAACTACATCTTTTTGCGTAATCGGAACATCATATAGAATTAAGGATAGGAAGCTGATGCTTTCTTAGCATAACAACGAGAACTAAAAGGTATTAGTTCACACTTAATCTTAAAGGAATATGTCATTTCTCTGACTACTCTTGTACTCTAACTAGATCTTTATTTAACATTAGCACACAATTTAAAGGATCCTCCTCATGATTTATTAAAATTACATCATCTGTAAATAATCTCACAGTACTTTCTATATCGTTCCGTAGATCATTGATATAGACTAAAAACACTAAAGCACCAAAAATGAATCCTTGCAGTGCTCTGTTTGTAATAGTCGCTTCTAAGGCATCTTACCGTCAAGCATAATCTGAATAGTACTCTTTCAAATAATCTTCTATCCACCTTAGACCTTTTTTGTAAAGTTTCAACAATAAACACTCATGATTAACATTATCAAAGGCTTTTTTAAAGTCTAATAATCCAGAACGAACAAACTTATTCTCAACTATACCAAAGTTTATTTTGTTCACGACATCTAATAATAAATTAGTCGTGATATCCTTAGCTACCAAACTAGATTGAAAAACCTGATAAAGTTTATTTTTAACACGATGAATGTATAACTGTCTGCGGATTTGTCTTTCTGGAACTTTCGATAAAGCTAGCAATAAGGTTATAGGACGATAATTTGTTGGATCTAAAGAGTCACCACTTTTATATAAAGGATTAATCGTACCATTTTTCAACGATCAGAAAAAACGTGGTACGATACCAAATGGTATGACAGGTGGTAATGACTCATAGATTAGTTTGTAATTCGTTTTACCAAAGACGGTACTATCTGTTTCAACACACGATTAGTTAATCCTGGCGAGCATGCACGACAAATATCAGATGTTTTGTACAACGTCTGTACTGTTATCGATAATAGGAATACTGTTTCATATTACTTTCCTCGAAAACGTAATACATAACTAACAGTAATGTGCCACCCCTAGTTGGGACTATAACACATTACTTACCATCGATCTAGTCGATGTTTGAAAAATGCTGTAAAAAGCTAATATGGATAATGATAAAAAAAAACATTCCCAGTCTACAGATGCAAAAACGATCAGTTAACTGACATTTATGGAACATTGACCAAATTATTTTCATTAACCTGGATTCTATTATTATCAATTTATATTGATTTTATTGAAGATTCGTAATTATTGTATTACGTTCAATCCGATATGTTTTAAAATTGACTTTGCCTTGAATTTCCCCTATAAATGTGGGTGAAACTTGGTTTTTGTTTTTGTCTACTTTTTATACTTAATAAAACATATAATACTATTGAATAATAATTGTCAAGCTTCTAACTAATACGTATTCCATGAATTATTTCAGAATTAATTTTGTAATCTTATCAAGATATTAAACAAGATTAATCTCGATAGAATTTGAAAGAAAAACTCGTTCAAAATTCATCCATTATTATATTTATAATTATTATTTTCTTACATTTTTCATAAATCTGCATAAGATCTTCCATTCTAGACCGTAAATTTAGAGTTTTAATTAACATCTTAATTCAATAGTTTTTCTTGATCATAAAGGCTTTCAACTGATAAGAAAAGTTTACTGTTTTTTGTTTTTCAGAAGAAACTCTAACCAAAGCGTCTGATGAAAACACATTGAATAATTGTCAAATTAATTATTTCTTTATGTTTTATTAGATTAATTAGATCTAAAAACAATAATAATAATAAAAAAGAAAAGATACGGACGGAAGTTTTCTTTTTAAAGTAGCTAGACTTTTGTCGGTTTCCATTTTCATATGATGTTTGGATAAATTTAAAAATAGAACAAAATTTTAATAATTAATATTATTTCACCGGATTTTGTCTTCATTTGCATAGTATGTCAACATAATTAAATGTATGACTAGTTTGACAATGATTAATTTTTATATATTTGATACACATGTCGAATATTTGATAATTAATACACCTCTAACATATAGATGATAAATAATCATCGTAACAGCAAAGTTAATTTTCAAAGTTGTAGTACTCTGCATTCTTGCTGCAGCTAAAAGAATTCATTGTCATTCTCTAATTCAAAGATTAGAGAATATCACAAACTAAAGAAATAACATTAAGTATAACAAATCATAATTATCAGAAGATCAAAAATGATATATATTACCCAATAGAATTTGATTTTGATGTTGTTAATGTATTGTAGAGTTTCGCTGATCCTGTGCTGCTTGAATTCGATGAACTACCACCACTTGAGAAATTTTTTTTTGAGTAAAACTAAAAGAAATTAATGAATAAGATGATTTAAACAGATAAACAAAAATAAATAAAATGGAAAATTGAGCCACAGCTATCAATTATACAGCAATGTAGTTTGTACACACACACATATGTACACTGAATGAATAGTTTTCTAACAATGAAATACTGTATTTAAAAAGTTTCAATACATAAATTTTCTTTATGTGCCCTCATACTAAGCATCGGAAATCCATGAGATGGTTGGAAAACCAGTTCGAACATACTTCAGAAGTTTGAAAATCATCTCTCTGGAAAGCGGATACGAAAAGCTATAAAAAGAGTGCGTCGAGACTTTCGTACCGCTTTTCTAGCACATATCTACGTGCCAAGTCAAAATTGCTGTGTCGATACGCTGGAACCGTCGCATTACACTGGATCGAAACATCTTTTGTTTGGAAATACCTCAAACACACATAATTCGATGCAGTTTTTAACGCTGATTCCGAATGTGTAATTATTTTTCAAATAAAAGTGTGTCTAACCAGAGAAAAGAAGATTTTACCTCAAAAAGCGGAGTTCTTGGAAAACCTGTAACTCAGATCAGGACCATTTATGCATCTTTATGCTACCTGTATAGATGCATCACAAGTAGAAGGATATTCTGTGAAAGTTTCATCGAATTTAGAGTTGTGAAAATGTGTGGAAATTTATGCGAAAGTGTAAAAACAAAAATTTTTTTTACGAGTCGATATTCCAGAAGTCCTAGTTTCAAAATATGTATGATTTATCCATAAATACTTTGCACAATTCATAAAACATATTATTCTTATACGATACACTCTACGTTTTTCGGCCTCGTTTAGTGCTAACTTTTCCCACTTTAATGCAAAAACCGGGACAAAAATTTTTACGCCATTAAATACACCATGAATCATAGTATATATAACACTACTCAAAACTTCAAAAAGCTCACTTTCATTTTTCACCTAATGTCCACGTGGTTGCCCACTGTGAAAGATACTACTGTTGACTTCTCGAAGCAATAAATGATGTATATTTCTTATATGATGTCTCTATCAGAAAATGATACTTACATTTTTAGTTGGTAGATCCGAATCACTTTCATCAGATATAGAACAATCGTGCATATTTTCATCATCTGATTCCCTAAACAAAATTTGAAAAAATAATTTGAAATAAAAAGTGAATGTATTTAGTTTATTGAATAATATTACATATGTTTTAAATGACTTTGACGTCTTAAATGTGATCCATGATCTAATGATGCTGACCGTATTTTTATTTCGGCTAATAATAAAAAATTTATTAAATTGCTAATTTTTCAAAGATAATTTGTTCATTAAACATACCACGTTTCTGTTCAATTTGATGTGAAACAAGTTTTTTAATTGTTTCTATCCATCTTGTACTATCATCATCGATAGATGGCTATAATAAACAATAAAAATAAAGATACACGATAATAAATAAATTCTACTAATTACCTGTATAACATAGGACAAATCTTTTAAAAATACTTCAAATTTTTTCTTATCATTTTTGTGATATGTTGATAAACCAACATCTGATATCTAAACAATATTATTTGTAATTAATATTAAAATTTATATTATTATTTAAATAAAATTAACCTTAATTGATTCTTTAAATTGATATACCGATCTACTATGGCCATCATTTTTCTTTTTACAAAATAATATTTCTTTATCATATAAAAATATATCACGGACACATGTTTTTGTTCTTAAATACGATGAACTAGCTCGACGTTTTTCTTTTGATATTTGAAAATGTTCACCACGTAATAATATTTTACCTAATGAATTTAAATTACCCTATAGACGAATAAAAATAATACAAAATATAGTAAATATTTTTTAATAATTTAGTCAAACTATACCGGATAGCCTGTGATGAGCATTGTATGCATTACATTATTCAAATTAGATAATATGTTTAACATGACATTCAATGCATCTTGTAAACGACTTTTATCATTTTCATCTCTAGTATGTTTAATCATTTCCTATTAAAAAAAGATACACATACATTAGAAATGAAATTTTTCTATGAGTTCAAACGAACTTTAAGTAAGAGTTGATATTGTGTTATTCGTTGAATAGGCTTTAGTAAATAAGAGTCAAGTGGTAAACGATGACCAAGGCTTTGTTGAATTTTCTAAAGAGGGAAAATGAATTGTTCTATATACATAGGTTTTTTAATCTTGATACGAGAAACTTACGAGAAAAAATGGATGTGAAAAACAATAATTTTCCCAAATTTTTTCTGAATTTGGTTTATTTTGACAATATTGTTCGTATAATTTAAAATTTGATTTCTAGAATAAAGCAAATAGATAATATGCTCAAATTCATTGATATCCATGTTTTTGTTATTACTCGTTTAATAAAACAGTTGCCAATTGCTGTTCCCATACAGGATACCGATGAATCGTCACAAATCATTTGTAAATCACGTAAAAATGCACTGAAAAATGAAATGGAACATTATTCATCATTTGTCTGCCGTGATAAAAAAAAAACCTAGTTAATATTTACTTTGCATGAAAATTATAAATATCGATTAAATTTCCAAATAGAATATTCTTATTTTGTAAAATAGCGGGTGCTAGATATCGATATCTATCAGGATCATCAAACTTCATCATGTAGCCCTTGAAAAGAGAAAAAAAGATATTGTTCTTTTTTTAACATTGATATAGTTTCAAAATAATTCAATGTTTACCTCAATTATCGTTTTCAGTTCATCTACATAAATTTGCTCGGTTACGAGTAATTCTCTGACAACATGTCTATAATATAAAACAAATGATTATTCTTTGTATTTGATTGGATTCAAATTGAATGCTGTACCTTTGTTTTTCATCTATTTTCATATTAATACATTGAATTGATTTTATATCGGTACTGTTCGCTGATAATATTGATACATCATTCGATGGCGATGTTGTTTCTAATGTTAATGGTTGTACGCGTTGAACTGGTCTATTGATCGGTTGAGCTAGTTTTTGTAATAGTTCACAACGTTTTTCACACAAATTCATCACATCACCAACACGATTTAACACCTGCTCTATCATTGACTGAAAACAAAAAAGGAAATTTTTAAACTATTTACTACAACATATTTAATTCACATACTTTTAATGGTTCTGGTATATTTACATTTTGTAAATCATCTATATTAATCAATTTTAATTCTTTTAGAAAATCTTCTAATTCATTTAACGATTTTGCTGCTTTGTCATTTGATAAATGAATTTGATGCATATTTAATATATCTCTGCCTTTACTACACCAATGATTAACCTTGAATACAAAAGAATCTCTGATTTATATAAAAATGATCAAGAGTTATGAATCGAGAACTCGATTCATAAAGTGCCTCTATGGTACTGAGTTTTAAGCGAGTTATCGGGCTACCGAAATCGACACTGGTAATGGCTCTAGTGAATGCATTTAGACATAGGTACCCGCATTAGGTACCCTGCTACAAGAATGTCATAGGTGCTTGCAAGTAAAATATGGCTAATAGTAAAACATGAAGACACCCACAGACACTTACAGGCATCCACAGATAGCCACTGGCAGCTACACAGACAGCATAGAAGCTATTGAACGAGAAAAACGACAGATTACCACAAGACCATGCTCAATGGATGTCTCAAATTTGCTTCTAACTAGTCCTATCTTGTTCAGCGTGTCTGAAAACCTATAAATCCAAAAGTCCTTCTAGGAATTTTACTTTCTGAGTTCTGGACGGTTTTCTAGAGTCCGCGCGATGGAAAATTCAGCGTCTGAAAATTGGAGAGCAAAAATAAAGATTCTGTTTCTTCACCAAGACAAGTGATGGAAGAGGGATTTTTTCATCCTATGTAGTCCATTGCACGGTCTATCCGATAATGCGATCAGATCATTTTTACCTCGGACCTTCAGTCCGACACCAAAGGCTTTCTTAGGGGTTTATCTTAGGGGTTTATATTGTTTGACGGCGTTCTCGAGCTTCTGGCTTAAGTATAAAACGAGATGCACTTTTCCATAGACACTCAAGTGTGGACTATCCCAATCCAGTCTCAAAAGTCTGGAATCTTATAAGGATCTCTGGAAAACCTTTAGGAGTTTCTGAAAACTCCTTAAGTTTACCAAAAAAGTTTTTAAATTACCTAATTAGAAGGAGCACAAAATTCTGAACAAAATGAGGTATCACTGATAATTTTTCAGTTTTTCTAAGCCACAAATTCAGCAACCTAAAAATTAGGCTTTTATAATAAACCATTTTTACTTGAACATCTGTTATTTTCTCATCTATTTAAAGTAATTGCTAAAATTATAAGCAATACCTCATTTTGTTCAGACTTTTGTGCTCTTTTCAATTATGTAATTTAAAGACGTTTCTGATAAACTTAAAGGGTTTCTAGAAACCCCCAAAAGTTTTTCAGAGATTCTTATAAGACTCCAAACTTTTGAGACCGGATTCGAATGGTTCACACTTGAATGTCTATGAAAAAGTGCATACACAGACATCCGCTTCTACAGACAGGGGAGCGATACAGAAGTGGATGTCTGTGTACTGCCTGTAGATATCTGTAAGTGTCTGTGGGTGCCTTCATATTTTGCTATTATCCAGTAAACAGTCAGCCATTTTAGGTGATCGTGTGAAGATAAGGACGAGCGTCATTTTCGTAAGCATATGTTCTTCTTTTATATATGTCTGATCGCAAAACAAAACGGAGAACGAAAAAATTTTTTGATACCTATGCTGCGTCCAACGCAAGTAATTGGGTACCTCTCTAGTAATACTTACTTGGAAAAAATTCAAGTACCTATGACATTCATGTTGCAGAGTACCCACATATGTACCTAAGAAAAATGCAAATACTCGGGTACCTATTGTTAATTACACTCACCAAATAGGATATTCTTCATATGATACCGAGAGAATTAAACATTTGTACAAGGTTCTTATAACTGTAGTTGTCTACTAACTTAATCATACCGACTCTAGTTTGTCATTGTAACTTCTTAACATTAGTAGATTCTGTTGTTTCTCATGAATTTGTTCATTTATTTTTGAATTGATTGTTTCAAGTTCTTGACATTTTGGTTCAATTGAATCGAGACCATAGCTTTGTTGCTTTGTTAATAAATTAAGACCATCATTTCTGAGATTTGTTGCTTGTTCCATAATAGACTATAGATTAATAACAACAAATTAAATTGCATATATATCTGTATATATAGGCGAGGATATTGAAATATGAGGACTATACACGAACGAGAAATATATTTTAATATGTCAGCGATAGGCAAACAAAACATCATGAACTTGATGATTCTCGCATGTTTATTTATTTGTCGTTTTTATCATCCCTATTATGTGTCTGTCGTTCACTCCTCTTCTTTTTCTCTCCTATAATATTAATAATAATAGCATAACACTATTTGTTTATAATACCTGAGCACGGTCTGTTATGATGTCAAGTTGAGTTAATATGTTATCTATTTCAACAATAGAACGATCACTATTTGGTAATATGCTTAAATCATTCAATAATTGAGTAAATAGACCTTGAATCTAAAGGAAAAAAATAAAAACGAAAATATATACACATACACACATATACATATCACAATTTGTGAGTGATGAGGTTTATTTAAATTTTTACCTAGGACATTTTATCAATTCTCTAAACGCCGGTGAGATTAAATAACATCGCAAAAATGTGCTTCGACACGCGTAGTTTTCGTGCAATATTAACAATAACTACAGTACATAAAATCATTATTATTCTACTGGCCGGTATGTAGTTAAACTATGAATATGATATTTTTGAGAATGGAAAATTAATTTGATATAGACAGAGATACTATGTAAAGAATGATGCAAAATTCAATGTTAATAAAAACTTTTCCTTTTTGAGTCTGAAGCCTTTCAATCCTAGGTATAAATAGCACTTCCAAGATAGAAGACCAGTACACCTCAAGATGTACTGAAGTGTCAGTCAGGTTAGAAAAATAATCAAATGCTAACATATATTGAAAGATACTATTATTTCCTATAATTGATCGATACGTCATTCCAATCTTAGAAAACCAATAGATTACCCAAGTGATTTATAAACGCTATAGTAACACTATTTGATCATTCTTCAATTCTCATCAACGTTAACAAATCTTTTTAATGTCATTTTTAGTCTAATAATTAATAGTCACCGTTACTTCACTATTTTTCTGCTCGTAATTCATCCTTTTGTTTTGCTGTCATTACTACTATAGACTATTTACAAATATTTTTCGAAAAATTCATATTAATTCTCTCGTTCAGTTATACAAATCATCGAAAATCTGTGTCAATAAAGATAGTCTCGGTACGGATAATAGTAATACAGTTCTAAGTCTTCTATTAAACTTTTAAAGAAGAAAAACAAAAAAAGGTTAAAACGTTTTACGAAACTTAGAAATTTTTGAGGTAGCCGATCTAGAGTAATGAGATTTGATAAACGTGATGAAAGCAAATCGAAAACAGCAAGAAAAGGGTCGGTGAAAATACTATTTCTTTATCCTAAAACTGTCTGAGTTAAGTGACATGAAAGTGGCCAATTTAAGCGACGTTAACAATGCAGTTTTCATTGGTATCGGGTAATTTTATCTTATAGTATTGACATTCTTACTGAACTTAAATCATCTTATTTTATCCAAAAAAACGTCAGATAATGAATGACTAACCTCTCTGAATCTTGTTTCAAATCGTCGTAATTCAAGACATCTTAATAATCTTGGTTGATGAACAGACCAAAATTCTTTCAATACTTTGCTACTATCTTCAATATGCATTAGGGCACTAAAAAAAGACGATTAACAGCAATGTTCTAATTATAACAATAGAATATCAAAAATGTACTCACTTGCATACTCCTTTACAATGCGCTATTTTGTCTGGTGCCAATATTGATATGGATGATAAGTCTTGACTATTTTGTATAATGCGTAAAAGAGATTCTCCATAACTTAAAAAACAAAAAGAAAATTAACTTTGTTTAAATTTCCATTATAGAGCAACCGTATCACCTGTAGAGAAGAAGAAGAAGAGAGAAAATGCGTTAAGATATACTTTTTTCTACATTCTCTCTTTTCTTTCGAGAGCTCTTATATATACAAAATTAAAAACTAATTCTTTTTCTTTATTCTTTCATTGTGAGTATTTTTTCTTTCTCTCTCTTTTTATCATATTTGCACGTCTATTAAAAATTTGTGCGTAGGAGAGAAAAAAATGGTATATTATGTGTGTATGAATGGATATCTAATGTATCTGTATGTACGCCATTTGTAAGTGTTCTTTTTCGTCATTTGTTTACACGTATAAACAATCAACACACCACTTTACCAAAAATGTGTAACGTGTGGAAACGTTCACTAATAAAAAATATAGACGTTATACGTTCTATGGTATGAACTATAGTCAATTATAATAAAAATGTCAACGTTATGTTTTTGATATCCTCAAACTAAAAACAACATTATCAGTCTATAGTCTTTGTGTCAAATTCGATACTTACACATAACTTTTCAGTCTATGAGGTCGCAATAAAGATATGCCTTAAAGATAGATACATTATCTACTTTTTTATCAGAGCCTGATATCTGTTTTGTCATCTAATGACTCTTGGTTTCATTTTCATTGATTAAAAAATTGCGTATAATGTTCATTTCTTGAAGGTTCGTCTTTTTTTTGTCTCTCATATTTGCTCACGTATCGGTGTAGTCCATACTATGGTCCATACGTTAAATACTCTATAATTACTTTTGATCCAGATAAAAAAAACAAAAAACGAACGATTCTCAACGTATATATGATGTATGTATGATGAATCATATTGGCATTTAAAATGCGGACGAGAGAAATGATATGATGTGATCTGTTCAGCATACAGACATGACAGATATATGAGATTAAGGAGTGGACTACATCATGTATATCAAGTGACGAATATGTACATCATTATCATCTATGATGTTAATTTGATATGTGAAATAAAAAGAAGCATTTTGTGATATATTGAATCGGATAACTTGAAACGTAGTATATTCCTACACGATCATAAAAGGTTAAGACGCTCCTCCAGAAACGTTACATACAATAGAATATTTTATAGTGTAGTTTAATTAGGTATAAACGATTATGTGAATAGAATTTCACACGTTAGAAAATGAATATCGAGATATTTAAATTTATTATAATTTAAAATCGATTACTTTTGTTTTGTATACACGAAACTCTTCATATAAATAATAACAACATGTTTTTCAGCTACTTCTTAATTGAAACCACTATTTTTTCCACTCACTCTCATTTTGCTTCTCGCCCTCTAATGTTTGTTTAATATCAATGAAGACTTCCAAAATGAGACCACATTTTGATCAAAAAAGTGGTCTCAATTTAGAAGACTCATTTTTTTCTAATTAAAAGTTTTCATTGTATTAGTCAATACTTGGTGATCAAATTGAACAGATATCAAAAACAAAGTTCACATCATAGAATAATTTTATGTAACTATATATAATAAATGAGAGAAGTCTGTCAACTATCATGATGATTACAGATATCAATTTCCCTTTGCTTTTTGTTTTTTTTCCCGCGTATCACACAGATCAAGTACTATGAAAGTAGAAGATATACTTACAGCATAAATGTATATATTTATATGTATATATATATCTATATCTATATATGCGTACTTATGAGATTTTATCTTATGATCATTGAAAAGTCTCATATGTCCGTCGTTTCTTTTTGTATTGTGTTGAATAATAATCCCGTGAAAAGTTCTCTTACCATTTTGTATTGTTTAATTCTTGTTCTAAATCTTGTTTTTCTGATGAATGTTTTGTAATAATAAGTTTTGTACCATCAACGTCATTTGGAAATTCACATTCTTCAATTTCCTGTATAAATGTCGATAATGATAAACTTAAATCATATATTGCTTTTGTTAATTTTTCTATAGCCTAAAATACAGTATATCGCAGTATATCTTTTGTTTTAGATAAAATGTAACATAGAACATACTGCTCGTTGTTCAATCCATTCAAATAATCTAAAATCAATTTGTCCCCCTAGATCTTTCGATAATTGACTTGAATCAAGATAATCATGTAATTCAGCTAATGAACGACACACAATAATCTAGAATATGGTTATTGTTTTCAAATTTTGCTACTTTCCAAAAATGTCTGGAATGCCGGACAAATGCCTTTCTCTTATTCTTTATTTTATCCAATAGATCGATCGATATGCATACCTCATGAGAACATGATGTTATATTGAATGTTAATTTTGATAAAGCACGTTGAAATAGACCATTTGGACGTAACAAATAGATAACATGAATTGTATAGGGAAAATAATCCTGACAAAAAAAAAAATTTTATAATTAAAAACACTTGTAATTGTAATACTCAATCGTACCTCAATATAATTAATTATTGTTTTAACAGAACCCCATTTATCTGAACGTCTATCAACAACAATAACAAAGCCTAATTGACGTTCATTTTCACTAAAAAAATACAAAATAGTAATTAAGGATTTTCGATTCATTTCATTCTAGTCTTGTATTTTTACCTTGGAACTTGTGTTAAATAATTGACAATTTTTTTATATTTTTCTTGTGATATTTCAATATTTGGATTATCTGGAAATGTAAGTATTGGACAATTATGAGTGGAACCACCTGTGATAAATGCAATTCGTTCTCTTAGAAGATCGGCTGTTGTCATTACATTCAACGATGTTTCATTTAAGACATGTTCTAAATAGAATAGAGAGTAAAAGAAAAATGTTATTATAAAATTCAGTCATTTGTCACACGACACTTTTAAAAAAGTCTTTGTATATAGATTAAATATCTGTCAGATATTATTTTAAACTGTGCGCGCTCGTCAAGAATACCTACATATATACAGAATAAAGTCAATTATCAGACAAATAAACTTATTTGAAAAAGTATAAATGGAACGATAGACAGAATAAAAGACGAACAAATTTTTCATACTAGTTCGATTATAAATATAAATTAGATACATTCCAGTGTTTTACAATTAGAATTAATTTTATCACAGCATGCTCTTATCTCATCACCACATTATCGAAGAAGATACACATTTTTTCTTTATAGCATATGTACTGCTAGTTGACTCAACGAATTCGAATTGTTTGTCATTATAGTTAGATTAACAATGACTACCGTTTAGATATTGTAACAACGAGCAACAGAATAGTCAATATACTACTCCTTAGTCCAATTATATTTTCAAGTGATTCTTGGAAATATTAAAGAGTGAGTATAAATAAAATAAATCAGTTGTCTTTGAATAACAGCGACCTATTAATTTTAATATCATACTTCAATAAATGATTAGAAACTATTCTCTTCCTTCTAGATGATCAGTATTGAATATATTAAACACACTCACCTATCGCCACATAAAAATAAAGTAATTCTTGATGTTTATACCAGTTCATAATAAATAAATTTTCTTAATGAACTAATTTTATGAAGAGCAATTAAATGTATTAAAAAGCACACACACAACTAGTCCTCATGAGCTTTTTTTTGCACTAATTTGCTAATATGAATATCATTTTCTTTAGAGCATAGAGTCTTCCCTTTTCTTCTTCATGAGATGACAGTAATAGATAACACGTATGTACGTTAATAATGAAAAAGTCATTGTTTGCAGAGATGTTTTTTAAACGCTAATTAAAAGTTTTTCTCTTATTGTTTTTCTCTTAATGTAAATAACTATAAAAATTATGAAAGAACATGCACATAGATAAAATAGTTGTCTCATTGATAAAGACAAAATCTTTATGCAGATGAATATTTGTATAGACAAAAGTTTATCCACACATGAAGACGAGAGAGTGAGATCAGTGTATATAACATCTGATCTTCCCATTTATAATGAGTTCTTATACAAATCAGTTTTTTTTCTTTTTTTTCTTTTGATAAGGCAAAAGAAAATTGAATTAAATTAAAAATAAAAACTTTTCATATTTTTTCTTAGGATGAACAATATACCAAAAGAAGAATAGAATTCGTTAATCTTTTGCAAAAATGTTAATGCTTGGACATCAACATTCGTAAACATATAATATTAAATGCTTTGAGACACTCAGACTTTGTCAGCAATATATCCAGAAATATGACAAAATCAGTAAAAGTGTAGTTTTAATTCAAGTGTTTCTCAGAAAGTTCACCTTATTCGATGTGAGAGGATTATTATAACAAAAAAAAGTAATAAGTGTGAACACTCTTCTATTCATCGAATAAAAGCAGAATCACAATAACTATTAAGTACGAAAAATACACAAGATGTACTCTTTTACTCTATCTTCAATTGACATAAACGTTAAAGCTCACCATGTTGTGATTGTTGTTGTTGGTAGTTCTTATCATTATCCTCAGGCATTTCAATGATATAATAATCGTTTACTGATGAAAATGATTTTTTTTCATTTTTCTCTTCATTCATATCGAAATTATCTTCATTTTTATTTTCATTTAACATCAAACCGATTTGAACTGAATCCTCTCGACCGTTTGATAAACGATTTGAATCTTTACGATTAAAAAACCAACCAAATCTGTGATGTCGAGTATAAATTTTCTCTTGTTCAGTAGTCTCCTCCGACACTTATTGTATTCTTGAAAAAATACATTCGAAATTGATATCAGAAAATAGGTAAAATTATGTAAACTCATACATCTTCAAAATAGGCTCGTAAATTATCTAGGACTAGAGTAGTAAATATAAGGGCTTACTTTAACACAAATTACTGGCTGACAACTTTGAAAACCGTTTTTCTGAGAAAAAACGATTTTTTCTCTCGCTCATTCTGGCGATATAGATTCGTATATCCGTCTCATAACAGAGATGGGAGAAGATACAAAGTTTGTCCCAAGACGTTTTCAGCTATGAAAAAGTTATACTGATGGACGGCTGAATATATCTTTTAGTCTTTTTACTCCCTTTAGTCGCTCTTTGTAAGGTACAAGTCGTAGTCAATAACAGTTTGACTATATATATATGTTAAAATACAAATGCTTGCAATTTTTAGATAACACGCACAAGATAAAAGCTATGTGTGTACTCGTGAATTGGGGGAGGGGGCGAGCAGCGGGGTGTGAGTGAACCTGAAAAGTATTTCCATTCTAAAGAGTCATCAGTTGTGTAGAAAACTAAAGGAGTAAAAGACTTATGGGATTAAAAGAGTGACAGATACAGAAGTAAGAAGGTATAATAAGCTAAAATGACAGCTGTAGCTTTGTATGTAAGCTAAAAAAAAACATCTCGGGACAACTTTGTAAAACCATTTCCGAGCCCTCTCTTGCAATACCATATTAGCATATATAATCATTTCTATTTCATCTCATCATAATAAATAATTAAAAAATTAATTTATAAAAAACACTTGAAAAATACGGTCTATTTTTAATGCACAAACGCAAAAGCTGTGTATGTTCGATTAGAGAATTATGTCTAACTTTTCGCTTTTAAACTTTTAAACATTTTTTTTAGAAACCTCGCAGTTTTTGAAATTTTGAAGTTTGTTTCTTCGTGTTTCCATGAGAAACTTCGCCAGTTTTGAATTGATTTTTGTCGTTTCGTCCAGATTTTTAACTGTACTCAACTGATATTTACAAAAAAAATCTTGTGGATGTTTCCAACAAAAATACCCCCACAGTATCTTTAGGATCTTAAGCTAACACATCATCATCAATGGTACAAGGGCGCTCGATTCCGATGTCAATATATTATCTGAGCAGAACATCTGTTTTAAAACGTATTTTTTATGAAAAATCGCTGAAATTTACAATTGCAAGCATATATTTTTCTCAATAATCCTTTCCAATCCGTAATCTGAATTTTCAATCACTGGTCTAGAAAAAAAGTGAAGCTGCTAAAATAGGCTTGTAAATGAATACACGTACTTAAAATTTTTGAACTCAGTTATTAACACAACACAGTAACCTTTTATCAAACACGACTCTTTAGACATGACTATTGTGAATTTTTACTCCTTTCAAAACAAAGAAAAGTTACGAGTTTAAAATCGTTTCTCTTTTTATGTGTAAAGGTAAGACAGATAAATGGAGGGCGAGAGAAAGAACAAGGAGAGAGCGATAGACATTCAAAAAACTTGTTTCCGCTTTTAGAATAAAAAGCGTCACTTTAATGTCAATGGAATACCGTTTCTATTTTTTTTTTCCAGTTAATGGTACAGCTCTTTCTATACAAAGAACCAGTCATCTCTATTATACGCAAGAAAATATCTTTATCCACACACACATTTATATAGATATGCTATGAAGAAAGCATAGAATTACAGATACTGTAGAATCACCAATTCTATAATAAGATCGGAGAAGTGTAGAATGAGCTTCTAACTTCACTCATAATGAAGATGAGTAGAACGTGTCGAGTAGTATAAGATCTAAAACTTTTAGTTTAAATTTATAAAAATCATATTAAAAAGTTATTTTTATTTCATTCTATGGCGAAATTCAATGCTTAGTCTGTACTTTCTCCGATCATTTGATAGAGAATTTTCTAGTTTACAAAATCCATTACCTTGTTTCATTATATATTATTTTATTATCTAGAAAGATAGGGTAGAGTAAGGATATGTAAAATGTATAACTGCGATTTACTATCAAAATTTTGATGGCTTTTTGGCTTTTGTGTAATTTTTCTAGAAATAATATGGTAACTGAGAAAAGAAGGATCATATAAAAATGTTCAGTAGATTGAGAACTATCATCCAGACTACGCTGATTTTCCGTTTCGTCACTTAAATTGTAAATATTTTAGTGCACAAGTTATTAGTACTTTCTGACAACGTGAGATTTTGAAAAAAGCAAGGAAAGGACTAATCAAATGACGCTGTATAAGTGTGCGATATAGAGGGTTTTGTAGAGGAGAAAATCTTTTGTCTTCTGAAGTCAGAACGAATTCTTGAAAACATACGATATACAGACAAAAATAGGTACATCAATAACCCCATAATCTTAGGACCATTTGTTATTAATGGCTAAATGTTAGGAAAAATATTATTTTTCAATGTGAATTAATTAAATCAAGATTTCCTTATGCATAGTAAGATGCACCCAGGGCAGCCTTGCAGTGAAATTTATTTTTCGACACTTCATACACCATTCGATAGAGAATTTCGCGGTGATCACGAATATCACTTCCAAGGCTCTCAGAACCCTTTCCTCA